AAACACCCCAAAGGCCACCGATCCAGAAATGCCTTCCAGCTACAGTGACTGCAGATGAGTCTACGTTGATGATAGGTTGCTTGTGCCTTCCTGCACTCATCAAAACACTTTAGGGAAATTAGGTTTTTGTTCACATAATCTGAACAGCACTGTGGTCTTTGAGATTATGTTTGGCAAGTCCTTTAACAGGATATTTGGATACTCTTCCCTTATTGATGCAGTGTATTGTGCCACACTTAGTGAAGAAAGATAGGTAAAAATGGCTTCAAAATATATGACAACTTGGAATGATGAAGTTCTTGCCTGAGATCCCCTTTTTAATGTTGGTAGATGGATAAATCCTAATCCTTTGGATGAGGAAGTCAAGACACGGATGCTACTGTCAGTTACTCAGCATCACAAAAGGAAATCCATGGCAGAGCTGGGAATAGTTCTCATTCCTGTCATGCTTGAACTGCAAAGCTGATAGAGTGACTCTGGGGATATTTAGTTAACATATGTGTCTGTCGCAGTCTCCCAATGTGGTACGATGCAGATGTATTTCTTTACCTATTCAAACTGGAATCAGAATTTCTCCCTACCCCTACCAATTGAGGATTCTAGTCACTTTGACATCTGGCATCTTTCTTTTGTCACCTAGGTGTGAGAAGGGAGTGGCTGATGCAATTGTGTAGCTTGCTCTCTCTGGCTCCGTTGTTTGTGTCTGTAAAGGTACTGAGATTGAGACAGATTTCAATGAGGAGAGGAGTGCAAGGTGAATTTGCAACCCAATCTACAGATGCAAAGTAAGAATTGTTGAAGACAAAAATTCTCTCTTGTCACTTTGTTATTCCACGGATATACTCAGCCTGCTAGGCAGTGTATAGCATAGCACAGATTTCAGAAAGAATTGTCAATCTGAAGACAAGCAAAGGGACCTTCAGCCTAGGCGAACATCCTGTGCATGAGTTCCTGTGTGCACTGTTTTCAACAACTGTGGATAAAATGTCCTGGATGTGGCAGAAGCCCTTCTTTCTGTGGTGTAGCTTTCTCTCGGCTGCTGTTGTATGTGATTAAATGAAGGTATGTTATGTGTTTATTCATACATTGCCTTCTCCTCTTGTTTCTGTTCTCTTCCCCTACCTGCAGGCTTTGAATTACTGTACCAGCCAGATGTGGTCCGACTGTACCTCTCCATCCTCACTGAAAGTCAGAACTTCAACACTCTGGAAGCTGCAGCAGGGGCTTTGCAGAATCTCAGTGCTGGTAACTGGACTGTGAGTGCAGTCTTCTCTTAGTGTCTTTTGTTTCCTTTGTAAAAGTAAAGAACAGCTATGCCCATTATAAGTGCACTGTTACTTTGTGCATTTACATCTCCTTTGGAGTTTCCACCTCCTTCCTTTTTAAAGAACCTATTTCTTTCTTACTTGCTCACTTAAGAGGTTTTGCACCTTCTGGACAGATGGTATTTACGTGGTGGAAGTGTCACTGAGCTCATCACAATTTAACCATGACCAGGTTTTACTACTTAAACCACTTAACTATTGCTGTGTCCATTCAGAAAAGGCTGTTGTTAGATGGTTAACTGTCCTGAATACTTAATTCATCGGATTCAGATTGCTCACGGAACTGCACTCCAAAGTGTTCTCTGATATCCTCTCTGAAGTATCCCCCCGCACTAATCAGGCAGTTCTCTCAAAGGTATGCCTGATCACTTCTAGAACCACATGGTGAAGTGGGACTGAGCAGCAGCCTGAGGATGAGCAGGGTGGTGTTTCACAACTGTCTTGAATACTGCCTATTTTAAAATCAATCATGGAACAGAATAAAAGCATGAGATTGGAGGTGGGGGGAGATAATAGTTGCTTTGGATGCTTTACTGTTCTCTCCAAATGACCTCTTTTTCCTAATCTAGGAAGATGTGTTTTCACACAGAGGTGTGTACAGAACAGATGCTGGCGGATAATGCCTCTTCCTTCTATTTCTGTCCTCTTTCCCCAGCAGCTTGCTAAGCTGTAGGATGAACTTTCTTTCTTGGTGCTTGATGAACTTGAATGATGGGTTGAGTTATAGATGCATCAGCACACACAACCTGACTAGTCTTTGCAGAGAAAAAAAAAAAAATTACAACACTGAAAGAAACACCGGGGCAAGGAAAGGGCAGGTGTATGAACTCAAAGGACTTTGTGTTGTTTCTTTTCCCTTGTGTGTTCTGATCAGTGGTCCACGTACATCCGTGCAACAGTGCGGAAGGAGAGAGGCTTACCAGTGCTTGTGGAGCTGCTCCAGTCCGACTCTGACAAGGTTGTGAGGGCTGTGTCAATTGCTCTGAGAAACCTTTCCATGGATCGTCGCAATAAAGATCTTATAGGTATCTTCTGATCTTTTCTAACCAGACTGGGATCTTGGATACCCTTGAGAGGCCTCACATTTTTCTGTCACTTGTGCTGAGAATTCATTTTGTATGCAGTTTCCATCCGTGCTACCTAAGATTACTCTGCAGCCACCAAGTGGAGGGATGTCATCTCATAATGTAAATCCAGCCCATTCGACCAAGCCATGGTCTGAGGGGAAATCTTTAACTCAGGAGTAAAAACAGATGCAGATTTCTGCAGGAGAAGGGATTGTGTGTAGGTGTGCAGAGTAGCGGATGGGTTAAGAGGTTTCTTGTCTCTTCCTTAGCTCTGGCTGACATGGCACTTGTGCTCCTAATCGCACATGGTGGTTATGGAGATGTTGCTCCTTAGGCCTGCTATTTAGATTAGAGTGGGAGTCTTGCCCTTGGCATGCTAAGCTAACCTGAGGAAGCGCAGTGGGCTCTAAAGTCCCCTTTTTCTTGCTTCCTCCTTCGCTTCTCATCCTTTTGCATGGTAGTTGCTTGTAGAAGCTGGACAGCAAGCAACTTACTCTTCTTCAAGTTAGTTCTTCAGCAGTGCTCATTAGCTCCTATCCAAGGGGGTAAATAAGCATTCACCTGCCCATAAGCAGAAATCTGAAAGACTCAGCTGTGAGTTGGGTTTTCCCCTGGATGCTTCTACATTTAACTGATATATTTGTTTAAACTATAACCTTGTCAGGCCAGGAAATATTGATCACACATACAGGGCCATCATCCAAATTGATACTAACAAATAGCAAGGTGGGATTCTGCCTTAATACATCAGGTTCTTTTTTTAATAGTTCAGAGGTATAGCTGGGCAAATGGTACAGACAGACACCCGGGAGTGATAAACTCTGGCCTCCTTGGTTTTTTTCCAGTACTATACACTGAGAAGGCTAACTGCACCCAGGAGGAAATACTCTTACCTTTGCTGGGGGAAGGTTAATAAATGCATGGCTGCACACCTTGCCCCAGAAGGCCTATTACAAGGCTAAGTTGAGTAAGCCATGTGCGTGTATTAGCATGAATATGTGGCATTAGCCGCAGCTACTGGATGCTTTTTGCCTGAGGCATTGCAAAGTATGATAGATGCTGGCTGTAAAATTCTCAATAAAGATTGCTTTTTTTTTTTCCCCCTCAATACCTTTTAGCGTTCATGATGAAAGAGTTTGTTTTGGGTACCAACTCTCGATCACCTTGAAATAATGAATGATAAATACACTGTTAGGTTACAGTCTTGAGGTTCAAAACATGTGCATTATTAAGTTTTTTGACCTGGCAAACACCCTTGAGTTTTTATCATTCAGGATGGGAAGCTGAAGTTATTATTAGGGATAACTAATGGTATCTCTTCTTCTTATCTAGGTAGTTATGCCATGGGTGAGCTGGTAAGAAATTTGCCCAGCAGGCAGCAGAGATCTGGAAAGAACCTGGAAGAGGATACAGTGGTTGCAGTGTTGAATACCATCCATGAAATCATTACTGACAGTTCAGAAAATGCCAGGTCTCTGATCCAGACACAGGGCATTCAAAAGCTGGTAGCTATCAGTAAGTCAAGGTAAGTGACAGTTGAAACCAAAATGCATAAGAACTCACTGCAAACATGAAAATGTCACTATGAACAGCAGATTTTGCTTTGTGAAAGTGTTTATAGCATCCTAACCTTTCAGAGCCTTTAATTTCAGAACAATTAATGTATATGCAGAAAAAATGGTCATCACCTATAATACTTGATTTTTAAAAAAAAAGTTAATTGAGTAGTCACTTCAGTCATGTTAGGACATGCTCTCTCCTTGTGAGATACATCTTAGCACCATGTATGCATTTAGCAGACATCATTTGGAGTGAAACAGTGATCTTTAATTTTTGTGTAGGAGGCCTTTTTTCTGTGGCAGCATTCCATTCCTGGAATGCCAGTGATGAAATCTGTTTTAAGTAAAATGGTTAATGATGTGCAGTAATCTTTCGGGCCAAAGGGCTGGCAGTGGTAATGTGAAGTGACAAATTTTCATTCTGCAGTTCTGTTGAAAACTGTGTTCTGACTGCTTTAGAGAAAAGTTTGCTTCATATAGTTCAGCCAGTTAGACCTTATAGGTGTGATTTCCAGCAAACTTTTGGGACAGTGGCTAAAGACTTTGTTGGGTTGCATTGTTATGAAATGTGAGAGCCAACCAAGAATCTAGCCCTGTATTATTTTATAGAGAGTGCTTGTATACTGACTTAGTAAGGAATGGATAAAATTTAATTTTCTGTTTAAAAATAGCTTATTTTTTGCTGACCCAAATTGCTTTGTAAGGTATTCTAAACCATAAAGCAACTTCATTGAATTGTGAGGAATATATGTAAGTAGGGGTGAAGTTTTGAAAAGTGACTTAGAACTTGTTTTGTTGGGTTTTTTCCCAAATAAATCCAGGCAGTATGGAATCCATCTGGTTTTTGTTGATGACAGGTGCAAGACAAAAGGGTCACCCTGGCCTCAGTGTTTGCCCAGCAATATATGTGAAAACCCAGAAATCTGCACAATTTACAACTTTTGGACTTTTTTTTTTCTGTCAGCAAATACCTACACATATGAAGAAGTCACTGAATGATTTCACAAATATCCTGTAGCTTATAGGTTCAAAGAATAGCTGTATGGAATTACTAGGTTATCTCCTGGATATTGTTTTGGTGCAAAGGGGTCAACATGTGAATAGTCTTATATTGCTTGATACTTAAGCTCTGATTTTATCTTGCAAATCAGCCAGTCTCCCAGAGAAACAAAAGCAGCATCTCACGTTCTTCAGATGATCTGGAGCTATAAAGAGTTACGAAATGCCCTACAGAAGGATGGGTGGAACAAATCGCACTTCCAGGTAAAGATGTGGGGTCTTAGATTTAGTTATGGAAATGCCTGAGTGGAAGATGTCCTAACTTAGTCTAATATTACAGTCTGATAGATTGTGGACTTTGGTTCTGTTGTTCTAGGTGATAGAACAATATATTCAGTCACAGCATCATGCATATACTTGCTGGGTATGTTTTTCAGTGGTGTGTGAAATGTATCTTTTTCGGTTCTGGAAGTATGCCACCTCGTGTAGGTAGGCCAAATGCTCACGCTTTACTGGAGGAAGAATAAGCATGTCTTTTCTTAGTTGTCTCTCATTTGAAACATTCCATCTTGTAACATAGGGCAGCCACCTGTTCTTCACATGCAGCCTCCTCATCTTTCCTTGTGAAAAGGTTTTGCTCCTTTTACAGACCAACAATGCTGCCATTTATATAACAGGAAAAAAATCCCACCAACAAATCTATATGAAAATAAAAAGTATTCCAGTGCCATATTATCAACAGAAGGGGAGCTTAGCAGCACTCCATAATCTCTCTCCATACTGTTGATTTGTTTATTTTTCTTGTTCCACTTCCCTGAGTAGCAATTTCGTATTTATGTGGTGTTTTGTTTTTTTGATTTGTTGGCTCGTTTTTTTGGTTTTGGGGGGGGGGGTTTGTTGGGTTTTTGTTTTGGTTTTTTTTTTTTTTTTTGTCTTGTAGTCTGTTTCTGCAACTCCAAAGGGTTCCAAAGGTACTGCTGGCAGGTCTGGCTATGATGACAGCACCTTGCCTCTGGTGGATAAAAGTCAAGGTCAGTTCTGCTCTTTACCACTTTTTCTATTGAGTTTTGCTTGTATTCTGGATTTGCCACTTCTGTGTTACGGTGTGAGGGATATTATTTGTGTGGTGATTTTTACCCCACACTCCCAAAATGATCAGTCCTGTTAGCTGGATATGGATAGTATTCCTTCCTTTGTGAAATGTACACTACTGACAATGTTTTCTCAACTTGTATGCAACATAATCAGTTAAATCTCCTGGGAGAATTTGGGATAGATGTGAGTTGGAACTTTGAAAGAGAACACCCCTGTTTGACAATGTTACATATTAATAACTCTAGCCTTCAGCCAGGCAGTGGGCTTGGCCTTACCCCTGCTCAGTACTGGAGTCTTTTCCTTTCTAAATAAATGTGCCTGTTCTGGCACTGCTTCTTCCTCTGCTGTGCAGTTGTTTTCATTGGAGATGGTTTATCCAAATGCTGGCTAAACCTGTCTGTGCTTTCTCATGAGGCCTAATGCAGCTGTGCCAATGCTGGTGTAACTCCAGCTTTAATTTCGATTGATTCATCTCTGAATCTGTTTCTAACGCTCAGATGTCAAAATTTCTTTTCAGAAATCTTTAGTCTCCTGCAGCAGAGTTTGCCATGTTACACTTTACCTGGTTTAACTGCACATTACTGCAGAAAAGACAGCCCCATGCTGTCCTGCCTGTTTCCACCTTCCCTGTTTTTGATCACATCTGGCAAATTATGCAGAGGATGACTTGGGTCAGTTTTCTGATCTGACAGAAAACTTCTTGTTTTCGTTGTGGGTTAACTTTCTGTTGGCTCAGCAGGCTGCTAGATGGGACTGTGTGCCATGTGAAGCTGCACCCTTACTTTCTTTCTTTCTCCTCTATTCTGGAGAGAAGCTTGTTAGTAGCTGTAGGTAGTCCAAAGCAGAATTGCAGTTTCTGTTATCACTTGAAGAGGAGTTCTGTATTATAGTGCCAGAGCAGAAAATACTAGGATTGCATGTGCTCCCTGGAGAGCTTAAATCAAACTTCCCTTTCTGAATGGATAACAGTTGAATAGTTTGGGTGTGGTTTTAGTTTTTTTACAATGGTCTCTGCAAACCTAGCGTTCAGTACTTTTATGGACCTCTCCGGTCCTGTGACTAATTTAAAAATACCAGGTGCTGAGAAAAGCAAATGTAACTCATTTCAATGTTTCTGTTTTATAGATAATGAGAAGGCTGGGAGTCGTGATATGATACCTATGGATGAACTTGGCCCAGGTAAATTCAGTCATAGATCAGATCCTCTGTCTGTTTCAATAGAGCACACTGTCACTCATGGGAAAGTTCAACTATTTCTCTAGGAGATATTATTTCAGATGGATAAATCTGACATTTAAAAACAGAACATTACCTTACAAAAGATTGGTCGTCATCTTTTTTTTGTCTTTTTTTTTCTTTTAAAATACATGTAGAGTGTACAAACCGATTTCTCCACTACTTTAAGCATATAATGGAGCTGTGCTGACCTAGCTTTCATTCTAGTCTCTGGCCCTTGATGCAGCTGCATTCTCTATTACAGATCTGGAAGTCTGGGCATTCAAAGGGGAAAAAGAGTTGAAAATTTACTTCAATGTAATGCTTGTGTTTAAATCTGTTCTGCCTTTATTTTCTGTAGGTAACACTAAAAATAAGTTAGTATGTATGATATTCTTGGCTCCACCTTTCATTTACCTGCATCTAACTGGGCCTGGCTTTTCTTACAGACTGAGAACAGCCACCTAGTGTCAATGAAGTGCTTTGAGATTGATAAGCTCTGTAGTTTAAGACTTGTACTTTTTTCTTTACAGAGGTGGATAAAGGTGCTGTGTGGTCTCGTGGGAATTTGCTTTACTACTTCCAGTTGATGTTATCTTTATTTAAATACCTGTATTAATGCCTCCAAATCAAACAGTTTCATATACTGCTATTTGTGATTGTAGCTGAAAAAAATAGCAAGTTAGCACGAAGCTGAAAGCCAAGCATGTTCAGAAGTTAAAATAACAGGTATATATTACCTTTTGTATTCTTAGAAAAATGAGATGCCACCTGCCATGAATCAACTGTCCATATGTATTTTGCCTAGAGGAACACTGAAACATTTGTTCTCACAATGGAAGAAAATAACTTCAGAGAAGATTGCCTGGCAGGGTAGCTGTGTGCTAGCAGGTGCTGCAGTATGGGCAGTGCTGACTGTTTATAGTCCCAATATTAATTGTTGCTTTATGATTTCAGGAATTACTGGTGCAGCTCTGAGTACAAACTTAAATGCAAATTAACAGCATATGTACAACATCAGGCAGATTCACTGGGCCGTTCTGTTGTCCAATCTTTTTATCACTATTAGAAGATGAAATCTGTGTAAGTTTTCCTGACCCCAGCTTGTGAGTGCTTCTTAAGTCCAATATGACTATAACTTTTTGCTGTTCCAGAGGTCAGCTGAGAAGGGACTAAATTAATTTATCGAGTTTACTATCCTTAATTCCAAGGAACTGGAATAACAACTTAGTACTTCTTCTCTTTCCTCCAGGCTGTTCCAAATGCCCTGTGGTTTTTGTCTTATGGGCATGCTTACGTGAGGAGTTGCTCTAGACTGTATTTTCTGATTTTAACTTCATTGTGGACTGTTGTATTTTGGAGTTTTTGTTCTTTTTCCACTCTGGAGTGAAGTGGCAGATATAAGGAGCGGAACATCAACATGCAGTTCTCTGGGTTTGTACCTCGAGCAGGCAGTTTGGTTGTATCTCCACGTACTCCCCACCTGTCTATGTTGAGCTTCCAGGAAAGACTGAACCTCACTTTTGTTTGCTAAGAAAATGCATGACAGAGTACCAGAGAAAGTTGTTTGGCATCTCAGCTTATCTTATTTCTTTATATTGCAGGAAGTCCTGTGCCCTGGTTTCAGTTGTGTGGTTTTTCCCTTGCCTTCCTCTCTTTCTGACTTCACTTGCCCTAAGACCTTTCAACTTTATATTAACTGTCTTTCGGAGAATTCTCATCTGTCTCCAGCTTTATGTTGTCCACTTAATTTAATTGAGATGCTTCCAGATTGCATAGTTTCTGCTGTACTGCTTTGGTACTGCACTGTAATTGCCTCAAACATGTCAGAGTGTGGCAGTGCAGAACTCGGTGAGTTTCCATGCCACACACGTTACAGGTACCCATCCGTTCAGCCAGGTCCTTCCAGCCCAGTGTTCATCCTGCTCCCTGGCAGTGTACAAGACTGCACGTTCCAGAACATCACCGCCTGTCTGCTGCCTCTTTTTTATCAGGGTTCAGCTGTCTTGGTGCCTGGGCCTTTACTTTTAACCCATGTTGACTCTTTTTCAAGATTGCAAAAAGGAAATTCCTACTGGTATCTCGGCTTGTTTGCTATTGCTGTGGGGCTCATCCTTCTCTATAAAGGAAATTAATTCACTATCAGTGTGGCTAGGGAGGCAGAAAGATAACGTCCCCCATCAGCTGGCAGTACTAGACCAGTCAGATTCGTGTTGGCTGGAGCAATGGGAAAGTGTGGGTAGAGCATGGATGTCCTGGGAGATGGAAGAAAACATGTATTGTGAGTTACTGTGGAATGCACAAGACAGCCCAGTGCAGAGATAGCTCAGGTCTGTCAGACCTTACCAGCTCCAGACAAGTGGCTCTGCACAGAGTCATATGAAGATCATCAATGCTTATTGTCACAGTGCTGCCTGAGGGTGGCTGTGGCCCTGAGCTGTCTGTAGAAGCAGCAGAACTGTGATCTCCAGGCTGTATGCCAGACTTCTGGGTTCTCTAAAACTGTATCTGTGCCTCAGTTAACCCACACTCAGTCAAAGAGCATCTGAGAGCTGAGAATTGTTCAGACCAGAGACACATAGTTCAGATGTCCCTGTCCTACATGCCCATCTTCAGGCATAACTTTTCTTCTCCTCCTCCTCCTTTTTGATGGGTCCGGAGGTTTGATCTTTATAAGTTGAGAGCTGTGTGATGGAGCAGTAAGATCTGTGTAGGTCTCCTTTATGCCACAGAAACAGAGTTAATTCTGATCACTTTTTAGAATGAATCTGACACATGGGAAAAGCAGTACTTCCTAATTTCTTTGGAGAGCTGTGTTCCTTAGGGCACTGAGGTATACTTCTCTGTTGCAGCCTCCTTCGAGATATTTCTCATTTTATTAGGTCAAATCGTGAACTTCCCATCTTTGCTGCTGCTTATCTTGACAGAGTCATAGCACAGTGTTGGTTGTTAGAAACACATAATCCATTAGTGCTGATGTGTGCAGCACCGTTAGCATGCAGACCACACAACAGTGGGCTGACAAGATGAGTTGCAAAACATAACGGAACTCAGACACAAAGAACAAAGTTCATGACCATTCTCTGTTGTTAGATCACTGCCACTGTGTAAAAGCTTGCTCTTCCTTTTGCTGCTGTCCTGGCTAAGCGTGTGGTTTTAATTTTTTAGTAGTATTAAAGATCTGTTGTGCTTTTAAATTTTTTTTGTGATTACAGTCTTTACTTCTGACCTTGCTCCCTGGGAAGTATCACAGCTGCCGTACTTCATTTAGTAGCTGTTGCTTTCTGGGGGTAGGTTAAAGGTTTCCTTTGTATCTTGGCAATTCATTTAAAAAATGTTTGTGATGATGGCACTACAAAAATGAAAAGTGATCTGTTACATCATTGTGAGTATAAATAATATTAGATTGTAAAAAGCTACCACTCAGTTGTTCTGAGTTTGATTTTGCAGGGGGAGAGGAGTCAGCACGTTTCCATCATTTAAATACATACCTGTGTGCACTATTTACTCCTAAATGAATGATGAATCTTTAGATCAGGATATGACTTACTAGCAATATTCATGCCTGACGTTTGAAAGAGAATTATTGGTCATGCGTGCCTCCATAAGTGCTGGCTGGGTAGCTGGATGCAGCTGGTAGGCTTTAGGTTTTTTTTCTTTTTTGTTCGAAAGGAATAGCCAAGAATGTTAGGCATCTTCATTGCCAACAAATAATTGTAAGTAAAGCTCTGTAGCGATTATTTTCGTGCTTTAAGATCTGTGTACTACACGTATAACTCCAAAAGTCTTTAGTTATTTTTAGGCAGTGGTTAAATAATCTACTACTATCCGTGATGTCATAAATATATTCTACATCAGGTGCTTGTTGCAGGTCTGTGTGCACTTTGATTCATAAGATGCATAGGAAAACTACAGCTCTTGTAAAACTTAACCTGGCTGCGGCCAGCATAAACATCGTTTAGGGCCCTGGTCTGTGCCTGTGTTTGGTACAAGTCACTCTGGCTGCATGTACTTTTCTCCTGTGGGGAAACACTGCCTCTTTATGCCATGGGAACCCACAAAAAACATTACTTACTTTTTCTAATGACCTGTTGCAGGCAAGTAATAAACCAAGAGAGGAGCATTTTGGTAGTTTATGTAAAACCTTTTTGTGGTGTTCTAAGAACCCAGTTTGTCAGGATATGAAAACATTAATGATACCTCCATTACATAGGGGAAAACAAAAGCCTACAAGGAGCTATAAATTTCAGTGTCATTTACTCCAGATTACAATCTGTCAGAGCAGGAGAGGATCTATTTGTCATTGATAATGAGGGAAATCTGATACATCAGGAAAATAAACTAAGACTCTGCACTGGTGAGGCCACACCCTGAGTACTGTGTTCAGTTTTGGGCCCCTCGCTACAAGAAGGACATTGAGGTGCTGGAGCATGTCCAGAGAAGGGCAACAAAGCTGGTGAAGGGTCTAGAGAACAAGTCTTAGGAGGAGCAGCTGAGGGAACTGGGGTTGTTTAGCCTGGAGAAGAAGAGGCTGAGGGGAGACCTTATTGCTCTCTACAGCTACCTGAAAGGAGGGTGTAGCCAGGTGGGGGTCAGTCTCTTCTCCCAAGTCACAAGCAATACGACAAGAGGAAATGGCCTCAAGTTGCGCCAGGGGAGGTTTAGATTGGATATTAGGAACAATTTCTTCACCAAAAGGATTATCAAGCGTTGGAACGGGCTGCCTGAGGAACTGGTTGAGTCACCATCCCTGGAGGTATTTAGTGTAGATGTGGTGCTTAGGGACATGGTTTAGTGCTGGAGTTGGCAGTGTTAAGTTTACAGTTGGACTCGATCATCTTAAAGATCTTTTCCAACCTAAACGATTCCATGATTCTGTGATTTGCATTGGCTGACAATGATACAAAGCAAAAGTTCTGAAATAATTAGAACCATTTCTTTATAAAACCCTCTCTTAGTTTTCTTCCTTGTGTTCATCGTGCTTTCATATTGTTTCTTAGTTGTCAGGAGAAAGCACTGACAGGTGCTACTTTGTAATGAAAGACAGTCCGAGCACAGCAGGGTTCTTCCAACCCAACAGGCCCTTTTTCTCAGTGCTCCGAAAGGGACTCTTCCAAATTATTGTCATGTCCTGCTAGTAGTCAGGCTCAGGAAGAGTGGGAACATGCTGCAGAGCATTCAGAGAATGAACACAGCCAATTAATCAGGCTGCTAAGCAAGGAATGCAAGATTTGGGCTGAAGTTGGAGCTCATTAGCCACAGGGCGCACTTGACAACTTGCTGCTTTCCTTGAGCACGCTAAAAACTGCAGCAGGCTGGGATGAAAACAGTGCTGCTTGCTAATGAGTGCCAGCATCTGGCAGTGATACAAAAAGAGGGCTTTTCTGTTTCAAGCTGGTAAAAATGAAATTTCAGAGCTGGACCACATGTGAAAAGCAGGCTGCCAGCATCTTTGTGTTGTGATGGTTTATTTTCCTGTTTCTTTGCTGAAGAATTCTGCTAGCATCAGCTCTGGTTTTGCTCTTATTTGTGCTTCATGCCTGACTGTCATGTTATTTCTCCCCAGATGGGTACTCCACCATCGATCACCGGGACAAAGAGCGCAAATACAAGACCAGTGATAACACAGGGGATGCCTCGGAGAAAGAACCTTTAAAAGTGAGCTTCCTCTTGCTGCTGAATGCTACTTAGTGCCTTTAAAAGAAAGGAAGCCGGGTGTCCTCAGCAAGAAATACAGGGTAGTAACTCACCAGGGGGCTGCAAAGGCCGTGCTTGCTTTTTTTTTTTTAAATAAATACACCATTTCGTAACTTAGCACTTTGCTAACTAGAAATAAAAACTAAATGCTGCTTTCCAGTGCAGGAGCAAATGTAGGCATTTGCTGTATTGTTGTAACTGGACGAGGCTGTAAAAGTAGAAAGTGTTTGTTCTGTCATCCTTGTACAGGCAGCATTCCCTAGCCCTGAAGTGTGTAAGTGTGCTCAGACTTTGTTCTGAGAATAGTCACTTCAAACTGTCACAGTGCTTTATTTTTTTCACCATAAGAAGTAGGTGTAAGCTTGTGTGACTGTGTAGAGCACTGTGCTGAACAGTATTTGTTTCCCCAGCACTCATTCACAGTCCTGATGGTGGACTATGGGCATGGACCAAGGAGATGGAGAGGGAGGGAGAGACGTGCATAGTTATGTGTGTGCCTCCTAAAAACAAATGTATGCAACTTTATAATTTAAAAGAAAAAAAAAATCTTCACAAAGCTCTTTGTGTTGTGGGTTGTGTGCAAATGTGGCTTAGTAGGCTCTGTGTAACTTCTGTTGCATTGCTACGCCTTTTCAGTAGACCTTTTAAAAACTCATTTAATGCTGTGGCCATCAGTTCTCCCTGGCCTCAAAACAAGCTTTTGTTTTCCCCTGGGGAAGTAATTTCAAGGAGGAAGAGGAGCATTCAGTGAAACAAGAGTCAGCCGTAGAAAACACTATTGTTAGTCTGCAGAAGGCTGTCCTTAATAACCTTCAGCACGTGTCTGATGGTATTGGAAAATCCAGGTGATTCATGTTCAGTGGAAACAATTAAACTTCAGTCAATTGAAAGGAAAACCCACTATTATTGAACAAGGGAAATAAAAATGTGATTTGGAGGAAAAATATTTCCGTAGATCACGAATTAGGAAGATGTCCTGCTGCATCAGTCTGCCTATATTAACTTCCCTGGTCATGCCTTTCCTGCTGTGTCCTACCTTTCCGTGAAGGTATACCCTGGAGAATGGCTTCAAACTGGCTGGACTATTTTTAAGCACAGATCACTCTCTTCAATGTGCCAGTTCTGGGTGTAGCTGTACCCTGTTGGAGGCTGCCCAGTTGGACTTTTTGGTAGAGGTGGTTGTGCTCCTTCATTTGTTTGTGGAACTGATAAAACTGAGCTGATTACTCAAGTCATGCAGTGTGCCCACCTGTTCCAATGTGGCAAGAAATGGCCCTGCTTGAACCAGTGTCAACAAAATAAACTTTCTAGTTCCCTCATCACAGTTCTAGTAAGTTTTGCAAGGATGCAGTGGGAATGGATGCATAAGAATCATAAATAGGAGCTTGACAGAAAATGTCTTTCTAAGGAAAATACGCTAAGGCAGGAAAATTAATGAATTTTGAATGGCAAAAATAACAAGTATTTGTTAAAGTGGTCTGATGCAACCCTCAATCACATCAAGCAGCCCAAACTCCAGTGTATGTCTGAAGTGAAGTACAACACAGAGTTCAGTGAGTAGCTGCTTTGCTTACATGAGAAAAAAAAAAAATTCACCTCGACATTGTATCTTCCATAGTCTGTGCTATCTCTTGGTTTTAAGGAGAGGGAGTAACCCGAATTCAGCCTATTGTACACCTCAAAGGTATGCACTGCCGTGCCCTCAGTTGGGCAGAGCTGAGTAGCTGCTATTCATTCTTCTCCCTATCCTGTGAAGCAGAAGTATACCTGTGGGGTCTTCTGGCTTGTGAACTGTTGGCTGTGGCTGAGCATTGTGAATAACGATGGCAGGGAAGTGCAGCCTTTTGGCTCTTGCGATGCTTTTGTCGGTATTGTGCCTTTGCTGATCTTGTTTCTTTCTCTACCACTAATTTTCCCTTGTGCTACTTTAAGCTGACTTGTTTGGTGGTTTTGTTTGATTAATCCGCTCTGTTTTGCCTTTAACTCCTCACCCTGTGCTGCAGAATGACACAAATAGGAAAAACATTAACAGGAGTAACAGGGCTTCGGTGAATCTGGTGGATGCCCGTGACATTAAACCCCAGCCTGTTGACTCCTGGGTCTAATTTGCATGCATGGTAGGTCCTTTTAATGGTAATTGGTGCTAGTGATTAACTTGTCTCATGCATGATCTGTATCGCTGTGGAATCACTTCAAGGCTAACTGCTATCTGGGTCCTTTCAGGCAAATGAAAATGCATTTGAAAAAAAGTGGTGTTTATATTATTCAGTGTATCTTTAAATGCAGTCAAACACCACTGTTTGATTAAAAAATAACCTGTCAAATAACCAGGCAGAAAATTAATATTGTGAATGATTGGTTGTCGGCTGAAATGTGGAAGATTTCTGCTGTTAGGCCATGGGAATGAATTTGAATAGTATGTTCCTGCTTCCAACCATTTTTTTGCTCCTGTATGGTCTTTATAACGATTAGCCTGAGACTTAAGGAAAGGCATATCCTTGACTATTTATGGATGTCCCCTGAGGTTCCCATGAATTACACAGCCCTGCCCATCTGCAGGAAAGCTGCTGGCTGTCCACAAGTTACTTTGCAAGGAGAGATGATTTTGATTACACAATAAACATTGTGTAAACCCACAACTCCCACTTCTCAATTCCTTTTTTTTTTTTTTTTTTTTTGTGTCACTAAAGAAAGAGTCTTTGTAATTTTCTAGTTCTCTGTCTTCACTATGTGCCAGGTTCCTCAGTCATGTTACTGGCCTTTCTTCGCTCTCGCTACTGCTAATCTGTCTCCTGCTGTCTTGCTAGACAGCCCTCTACCGTGGTTCTACCTTCTGGCACTCCATCAGATGTGATGCTACATTTGGAACAGCAGGTTTTGTGCTCCTGGCTATGACTAAAGGAAAGTCTTAGTGACTGTTGTGAGGCAGTGGGCAACTTTCCCATCAGAGTGGACAATGGGCCTTTAAAGGCCCATTCCAAAACATGGAGCATCATCCACCCCAATAATTCTACATGGAAATCACTTTCATTAGTGGGAGAGTAAACTCTTGGATGTTTTTGGATGGTGGTGGTAGAAATTTTTTTTTCCCCTCTTTCGTCTACAAATCTAGTATAAGTGCTAACTATTTATAGATTGTTTCTGTTCCTGGGTTGGAAGCACCTGCCCAGAGCAGTCTTTCAACACTGCCAGACACCCTTGTGTAGCCACAGAGCAGGCCTTGGCACCGCTGGCTTCCCGCAGCTGGTCAGCGCTGTGCCATCAGCCTTGTTGGCTCAGACAAAGGGCAGGGATAAATGTGTGTGTGTAGTGCCCATGGGCTTCGCTCCTGCGCTCTTCCTCTGAGCAATGAAGGCTTACAGATGAGGTAGAGACTTTGAAAAATGAAGTCTGTGCTCATTTTCTCCCAGTCATACCCTTCAAGGAACCCATATATTGGGGATAGACTGTCATTTCCAGTCACTGTCCTTCCACTGGGTTATGGAGATCACCATGATCCTGTTATTTGCTGGTGTTAATCAGTTGTGACTTTATTTTGCAGGGCTAGAGTCCAACCACTTTTTTTTTTAATTGAGGGGGAGAAATAAACATTGAATTGACACAGAGGATCTCATCAGTCACAACTGCCATTCAGATTTGGAGGGCACTGCATCACTGACCAGGCTGCAGATTCTAGGAGGATGTGGGGAGAAAACACAACTGACTGCCATTGCCAACCCTGGAGCACCATGCCTTACAGTGAGACAATTTGCTTTTTAACTCCGTTACATTCCCACCAGAAATAGCCACCACCTCCCCCTCCCTCCCACTCCTGCAAGAACAAAGCAAGCAAGAAAAGAGAACTCAAGCTTCAATCTAGCTGGCTGCGTTCTTAAGTGACTCTATGTGTGGATGGTGCCAAGTATGAGAAGTGAAGGTCATGTGGCAGCAAAGAAGACAGCTTCACAAGTGAAAGAGAAACTGCAGAATATTCAAAATAATATCGTAGGTGTAGCCATGAAGATAATAGCACTTTTCTGGTTTGGGGCTCATTGTTTTGTTTTTTGTTTTGGAGGATTTCTTTTGAACCGTGACTCTAACATTTTTAAAGGCTTTTTGAAAAATGTTTAGGTTTTTATTATTATTTCCACAGAAAGTGCAAGAATGTTGAGTGGGTTTATTGGATTTCAGTGAAGGGAGAAAATGCAGAACAAAAACTATTAAACGCTGGTCAAATGAACTGGAGAGTGGATGACAAAATTGATGCAAGCTGTATAATCTGCTTTTAGAGTAAGCTATATCAATCACAGTGCTATATTATCATTATTATCTGGTGTACAATACTGCCTTTTGAATTCTGTAATGGCTCTGTTTTTATTTCCACATATTGAAAAGCAGTTTATCAAAGGTTTCAGTGTCCCTGGTTCAGAAATCTTATGCTGAGAAATGGAGTTGGCTGACTTTTTTTTTTTTTTGTTCTCAAAGATTGCAGTAAGGAGCTTTTTACATTTTAAATGTACCAGTGTTGCATTGATGATGATTAACAATTTCTTTTGCCATAGCTGTTAACACATTGGAAGAAAATAGGAACTTTTTTGTAGGATGTCTTATTTTGAACATGCTATAAATTTTAGATGGGTCTGTCAATTGTATTTGATGGTAAACTTATCATTGTTGGATCCATGTTTGCTTTGGGCTATAGATCCTGATGAAAAATACCACAAAGGTTTGGCCTTTCCAAAATCATCATCATGACTTCTGTGTTCCTTTGGTTTTGTTTTGAGATTCCATATTTCAGTTGGTGTGAAAATCATCCATGTGCAACAGTTCTCCTTTAAGTTGCCAAGGCCTGTTTTGTGTAAGGGAGAATTTTTACCTTACGAGAACATACTCTGCATATATGGTATCTGGAAATGCCGTAAACAAAATAACTTCAGATCACTGATTTTCTCCAGGCATTGGTTAAGGGAGGGCAGCAGATGAGAATAGGAAGCAAATGTCTCACTAGTAGCATCAGAGGACTTTTGCTGATTTTATTTGTTCTTTGATTGCCATATTTAGTTTTAAACAAGCTCCTACAAACGGTGTGACTGGAAAGCACATTTTTGAATCTAGCAAACATCATTTGCGGTTTTCAGTGCCTGCTGTTTCCTTTGTAATTGAAAAGGAGAAATATCCAACGACCTCACCTCCCCCAAAATATTACTGTAATAGCAAACATCTACATTTTTTGTAAAAAAAAAAATTTAAAACTTTTTAAAAAAAAAAGGCAAGTACCAAGAGCTTTGTATCTTCTTGAGTATATTAAAAATTTGACATGAATACATATATATAAATAAATAAAAAAATCTATATATCTATATATATATATTGTTGTGCAGAGGATAGGTTAACAAAACCATGTAAAGTAGTTTGCAGGAGAGGGAAGCATTTGTTGATTCAGGGAAAAAGACTGATGCCAGAAGCTGTCAGTGATTTGGATGATACATGTGCTCCTTCGCACCCTCCCTTTTTGACCCTCATCTTCCATGTACATTGCAGTGGTCACTTCTGGATCCTGGGGAAGGTGAAGTTGCTTGAAGCAAAGTAAGATAGCAAAGATTTGTTTTTTCACTTGCATGAGAGTCCTGTTGGGCCAAAGATGCTCAGCAGATCAAGGGAAGCAAAGAGCTACATCTGTGATTATCTGCATTTGTGTCGGGGCAGTGTCTCTCAATGTGTAGACATAAAGTGTGGCAATGAAACCAGATACATAGTCTGACTGTATATTATATCAATGGTGCTCTTTTCATACTTGTTCTGCCAATACGCGGAGACCCTTTTAACCAAGCTACACAGAAGAGTTTTATATCACTTTTGGTTATGTACTTGGTGTATTCTTTTTGTATATGAAAGGATTTTTTTAAAAACGTTCAGTAATTAGCAATGGAACCTGCTTGTAGCTGATTAGAGCAGTGTAAGAGAAGGGCCGTGCTGTCAGTCTGTCCCTGATCTACTTCAAACCATATATTTACCAAAGGAGTCTGAGCAAAAGTTCACTTAAAATAAAGATCTGACTGTTGAAAGGAGTCTCTGCTAAGACTTTGTGATTTAGTTATTGTACAGATATTTCAAAGCCAGCAAGAGGTTAACAGAGAAAACGGCAGGAAAGGGGAAGTGACATGGGGCCAATTATGTCCATGGCCGCCTATCCCAGATAGCCCATGGCTCTCAGTGGGGCACTACAGGGACACTCAAAAGCTGGATTGGAATGTACTTTGGTCTCTGTCATTAGTGGGCTAACAACACTGCGGAGTATTTGAGAAGCAGATTCAGACCCTATCCCACTTTCCCCCAAAAGTCCTTTTCATATTTAAACTGCATCCTGCGATAAGCAAACCTCTTGTCAAGTTGGATGGCATTGGCTGCCCAGGGTCATTGTAGCAAACTGTTCATTTTCCTGGGGGTGTTCGTGGCCACCAGCGTAGTTGTGAGCAGACGACATGGTTTATTGCTACAGAAAAGCAAAGGATGGTATATCAAGAAGTCAAATACCAAGTCCATGGGCCAAGACTTTCCCTGGGAATCACATGTTTTACCTCTGCCCTTCCCATGCCTTACAATAACGACAAATTCCCAAGTATGTAGCAATAACCCATCATTTACGTTACTGTGGGTTTTTTTCTTCTCACCAAACTGTTGTTTGGATATTGAGGAAGGAAGATGGATTGTGGCGTGACTTGCATGTGAGACTCATATTATCAGCCCACCAGCTGAAGTCCAAAGCAAGATACTTTGAACCAGGTCTGGTGATGTAATGTCCTTTTTATCTATGGCCACAAGCTCACTCATGGCAAGCGTTGGTGGGATGTGTGCCCATACCTGCCCTTACCTCTCCCCTTGTTGGCGCAAGTGTGACTAGCTGTTCGAGCTGTTCTGGGATGTGGGTGGAAGAACCTGTAATTGTTGTATTTTGGCAGCAGGGACTGTATGTAAAGAAGGGAAAGCGGCAGTGTGTGTGACTAAAGCTGCAGTAGGGTCTAGAGTCTCCTGCTAAAAGGCAGGCAGTGCTTTTTGGGGCTCAGGTATGTGACCTCTTCTTTTCCTGTTAGCTCCACTGTGAAAACTGGAGGGAATCTGCCTGCAAAGGGCTGGGGTAGAAGAGATTTCTACCTGCAGAATTTCTAGTGGGAGAGATGGTTGTGGAAAGAAATGATGGTGTTGCAAGACTCCTGCTAAAGAGGAGGAGGAAATTTGTTGGCCCAGCAAGGGCTGAGATAATGCAGGGGAGAGGGAGACTTCAGATGGCAAGTAATACTGTAGAACTTTCTTCCCAGGGAGGCAGCTTGCACATCTCCCAAGCATCTTCACTAAGCTGCAGAGGTGGTGTTTTGGGTTTTTTTTAAAAAACAACAACAACAACAACAAAAAAACCACAAAAACCAACCATTGTGTGTCAAGACTCCCCTGGCGAAGCATCAAGTTTGGCTCTTGAGCGTGTAAGCAATTGTACTTGTGTACAGCTTTCCAGGTTGGTCAGTCTGTCTGCAGAATCTGAGGAGGAGAGTGGAAAGGCAAGGCTTTAGGACATTTTGTTTCTGTCTTGGAGTTAAGTAGCAGTATAGCCATAGGCGTAACTTGGCAACTCAAGAATGTGTTGCCAGCCTGAATTGCTCCCCAGAGAACAGCTTGGGCAGCCACAGGTCCTGATCTTCAGTGTCTTCTGGGCAAAACACCTGCCTGTGCTAGTTCTACTCTTGTGCACACAGACATGCCAATTCTGAATGTGTCTGTATGAGGAAAGCAAATCTTGTTTCTGTTGCAAAGACATCACAAAAGCGACTGACTTGGGGACTAGGAACTGACTTGCTGAAGTGACACATCAAGAAAGCAGAGGGTGGCGTGTTAGTTACAGCAGATGAGTAAGTTCTTGCTAGCTCTGAGGAGTAGTTTTCAGTGATGCTTTCTAGCAGGCCAGGCTTATGCTGGGCAAAGCAGTTTTCACTCCTAGAGTAGAAATGAGATTGAAGGCGGTGAGTTACCTTCTGTTACTTGCCTTAAAGCTGAGCATATAGGCTCAGTTACCTGTGAGAGGCGCGCACATCCTAAATCCTTCGAGTAAGCAGAGCTTCAGAAGCCACGTGGGCACATTAGAGTGGTTGTAGCTTTTTCTGCTGTCCAGCTGCCCACTCAGTGAAAACTGTGGTGTGCCAATAACTTAGTATTTTTGTGCTGTTGGGATGGAGTCGTGCTCTCAAAAAAGTTTTCAAAGATGTTTATATAAGCATAGTTTCTCGCAAAATTTCTGATTTGATGGGGGCTTTTGATGCCCCTAAAATCTGGTGTTTCCTTATCTTCGACACAGAAATTCTCTGATTTATTGGTACAGTAACTAATCTAGTGCATTTAAGGGGAAGGTGTTAAGAACCTTTTTTTTTCTGTCTTAAGTTTTACATCAGGGTAGAATGTTCTGAAGTCCAAGGTGAGGAAGAAGATAGTGCAGATACTACAAGACCTGCCAATCTGGTTTTTACTGTTCAGAAAAACAAAGTAACTAGACTAAGAAGCTTACTGGTAATTAGTAGCTAATGTGTTTGTAACTATCATGTGCCTTAAAATTTTCATGGTAGAATAAAAAAAAATCAACAATGTGTTTTCTGTAATACTGCTCAACATTCTCTCTGTAGTTTAGACTGGTGGGATTTTGCATTGTATTTACACTGTACTATAAACTGAAACACTTAGAATGATTTGATTTTACAAGTATGGAGAGGAAAAAAAAAAGGTGGATTATGCTTTTCATAGAACAAATGTTACTGTGACAGAATGTATTATTATTATAGGATATTTCCATAACGCAGACAAGTAGAATGCTTGTTAGAAGCCAGGTATGTAGGATAACAATTTGGTGTGTTTTCAATAAACCATGCCTGGAATGAATACATGTGCCATTGGTTATCTTTTGTTACGTCAGGTATCTCAAATATTCTTTGGCTTTGCAACAGCAGTCTTCTGTGGCAGGGGATTATTCAACCCTAGCTCAGGTCAGTGCTCGTTAGTAAGAGGTCAGTAGTAATGACGGCAATTGGAAAATCCTTTAAACTAGTATAGCATAAAATTTTTGATCCATTGCCATATGCTGGAGTTGTAGCATGAAGTCCTGTAAGGACCATGGACTGTAGATCATGAGGGTTTTTTCCTTTTTAATGTACAAGCGTATTTCTGTGGGAAAGACAACTGTGATACTGTTCAAAGGCCTGCACATTTGGGACCACAAGCCTAACTTGCTGATGGCTTTTCCATTTTTGGAAATGACTAACTTTTCCCAATTTAGTCATAAAATCCATGTAACTTTACAAAAATTTCACATTTTTGAAATGTGTGCAAGTATTCTTACATTTATAAGTGTGTAAGAATAACAAAATCTTGATGTTTGAGGTTTGGTTGACATGAGAAATTGTTATTTTGGGAATGCGCCAAATAATTTACATTTGTTGCTGTGCGGGGAAGAAGAATCCTGATACTGAAAAGTCAACCATGTATTTCAAGTAATAGCCAGTTACTGACAGATCTTAATTCTTGAGGACTGCCTCTCCCTGGCATGTTCATAAGATCACTAGGGAGACTGATGCTCCTAAAAACATCATACTTACTGCTGTACCTTCATGAAGCATGACAAAACCCAATAAATCTTGAAATAAGTGTTCTGCAAGATCTTACAGATAGAGTGGAGGTCAGGTTTTCTATGAGTGAAAGGTTGATGAATCATTGCCAGTAACAGTTTGCCATATGTTAATTCCTGATTGTACCATTCACAGCACTATAAGGTTCCATTTACTTGCAAATGCTTGCAAACAGTACTTGGAAGGTCATTTTCAGCTTCTCTTCCCTCCTTATTCCAGATGTCCTGAATGCATCCCCAGGAGTTATGTAAAATCATCTCTGGATTTTGTTCTTGCAGGTGGAGAATAGTTTCACAAGTGCTGTGGTAAGATATGGGCTCTTGGGCTTGGCATCTTGCTTCTAGGTATCATCGGTGTTCCGCTGCAGCAGGAAATCTGATTTTTTTCTTTGTGGATGCACTAGTATGGCAATGAATAGCAGATGCTGTAGGTAAGGTACTGAGCTAAAACAAATACCTTGTTTCTACAACTGACCTTTTATAGCTGTCAAAGTGATTTCATTTCCAGCTTATCACAGGTTGGGTAAATGAAAGCAATGAGTCCTCCAGGTGAAAGGTTAACCTGGTAACAACAGGCAAGAAATATCACAGCCTTCATTTGTTTCAGGTTTCAGCAGTTTCTTGGGGGGAATATTCTGTCCTCATGGGTCTCTTCCCCAGTGTCTTACTGTGAAGGTCTCTGTGCAACTGAAGCACAGCAATGGCAGAATCTCATTCTGGTACAAGCTGACAGAGGGGACTTTTTACAATGGGAAGTTGTTTTATAATGGAACCATTAACTGAGTTGTAGAGAAAAAACTCTTTTAGTACATTTAATGTGCGTGCACAGCAAACTTATCTAGCTGTTATTCATAAGATACCTTACAATTGCTTCCTAACTGATTGACTACTCAACCAAATAAGCACACATCACTGACCTTTGGTGGGAGAGTTGGGATCTCGGTGGTCTCTTCATTGCTACCCTTGGAGGGGTTTCTGTATGTTCTCTTCACTGCATCTAATGCTTGACTCATTGTTCAAAATTCTTCGGAGGGGTGCTTTGCACTTCCTCGTACCAATGGGATGAAGCACGATCCTATACAAATGTATGATGACTACTGTTTGCTCTGTTGAGTAATTTCTGCCATAAGGATTGCTATGTGGATGCAGTTATGCTCAATTCGGTATTAAATTAGGAAGCGAAAGGGACTTGTGCTGGGTTTGACTTCCTCATAAATCCTTCTGCTCTCTTGTACACTGATTTAAAGAATCTGTTCAATATTTTGAAAGACAAACATCATGTCCCTTTGAGGTAACAGAGGCTCTGGCAGAAACCACACCTTACTTTTAGGTGTCGTCTGAATCAGACAAGGTAGAGAGTAGCTGTCATTTGGAGAATAGATCTCAATTAGCAGTATTTGATGGGCTCAACTATTTGTGACATGAGTTGTGAGAACTGGCTGAAAGCTGTGTGTTGTTTTAGGGGAGTTCTTTCCATTGGGAGCTGTCTATCAGTGCTATGCTCTCAGTGGGCAGTCTTTCAACACATGCTTCCAGATGCACAGTTCCATACCTGTTTGGTGCAGGAATAGGTTATGTCTTCTAATTGCAATAGGCTGATGTTGCAGTAACACTCAGTAGGTTTTTAGAATATATTTGAATGAGAAGATCTGTTGTCTATCTTTTGCTTTCTCCCAGAATTCAAAGCATGACTTTATTCTGAAAAGTAACTCTTCTCCCTGGGAGATTTCACATTTATGTGTTAGCAACTCCGGATCATATTTGCTCAACTGACCAAAATCCTTTTTTCTAATTGTCAGTCATGCATAGACAGGCTTTTTCTTTTTCAACCCTTGCCACCAATAATTAAGAACATTTCAGAAGTGTGGTCAAGTGGAAAAAAATTTCTTGCATATGAAATTCTGTAAATAATCTGATGATACATACACTGTGTTTATTGTTACAGTCTGCTATGTGGGAGATCCTGTCTAATGGATTAAAATACCCTTTTTATACTAAAAGGTGGCTGTTATATTTGCACATATATTTCACATGTATTATTCGCTAATGCATCTTTTGAAATATCCATGCTAACTCTACAGGTTCCTTCCTTCCCTAATTTTCTTGACAGTCTTTCAGACAGTAATTTTGGCTGTTAACTAGCAGTAGGAATGTATTTTTCTGATCCTCTCTTGCAAAGTGCAGAACAGTCTACCTGTTTACTCTTACGCATCCTTCAGCATGTATCTGAGATTTTGGGTTGTTTATCAATATGCGTTAAGTGCCCTGCTATGGTAGGAGTGTCTCTTTAGATGCAAAGGTGTTTAAAGCCAGAAGCAAAAGAGGATTCTTTGGAGTTATGACCTTAGATGTACAGAAAAAAATTTTGGTTAACTGTATCCAGATTTTTCAGTGTGCTCTAGAAACTTGTGTATGCCAGTAAATTGGCTTGAAGATTATTTTCTTTTGCAAGTGTTGCAAAAATTGCTTGGAATCACCTGAAGGACTTTGGCACGGTGACTTTGAGTTGAGCCTGAATACCAAAAGGACGTGCTGCTAAGGAAGCTTACACAATAAATCATTGACTTATTCACAGTATGAGATGGAAGTGTTAGAACTTGGGGTCTGCTCCTATGCACAACAGCACAACGGAGTCACAAGAGGCTGCTTCTGCGTAATCTAACCCAGTATAGTAAATCTCGTGTCTTTTTCAATGTGACGGAGTTTAAGTTGTTAAAGAAACTCTGATGATGTTGCCTTCTCATATCCCTGTGAAATGCACTCATTATAAGCTGGCTGGGTCACCATGGTTTGCTTGGACCATTTCTAAACTGTTCTAGTTTTCTTTTAGTGGGCAATTCTCTGGTGTGCTCGTTATTGGATTTTCTGTAGCACGTAGACCAGGCTAGATATCACCTCAGTAAGGTGAGCTATAAAAAGAAGCAGCTGGTAGCAGGTCTGAAAGAATCCATAATGGGAAAGATGAGAATGGTTATCCCTGATTTTCACTCTGATTTTCAGCTGTTGGATCTTTCTGTGGCTGTTCCAAGGCTGGAAATCCCAAGTGCAGTGGAGAATTCATGGGAAACAAAGGAAGTCATATGCCTGCTCTATTGTTTTTTAGTTTTTATTTATAAATGCGACCATTGCCTCATTATATCATCACAGCAGGACACGCCAGGAAATGCCAGTGGATTTTTGCATTGTTCAGGTGAGTTAGACTTCAGATTTGGCTTTGTATCTTCTCAATGACAACTGTCACTATTCACATAGTGTTATCAGCACTGAGGTTAACCACGGTGTACAGGACCCACCTGATAAAACCCATTCTCTCTGGTCGTTATTTTTATACAGTGTCTTAAACATACACAGCACTTACGAGTGAGCAGCTTGCCCTGTCCCTAAAAAGCACACACTATGTATATACAATATAATGAGGGGATAACTAAATATGAGCATTTTCTCAAGGTCTCTGATACTATGCAGTTTTGGTGTTCTTTTGGAAAGAGCCTGCTCCTTTTGTTATCTGTCTGTTACTGTGTTTTATTTTAATCTATTTACTACTTCAGTTTTCCCTACCTCTGCACGAGCAGATTAATAATTTTATTTGTCTTCTGCAAAATTCTGTTTTATTTTCTCATCACTGCATGGGTCTTTCTTTCACATAGAAATTATTAACTTCTGCAGTAACTTCTGCAAAAATCTGATATCACAATAGGAGCCCTAAGTGTATTATGTGGGATTAATTTAGCAAAATCAGAGCTCCTGAAATGGTCTTTTCTTGCATCACACATGCTTTTTTCCACTCTTGATAACAATTAATCAGGTTTGGTTGGGGACAGAAGTCTTCAGAAGTTGCAGCAACTTCAGAACTTGCAGCAACTTTCTCCACCTCACCCTTTTGTTTGAGCTCAAAATAACAGACTCTGTTGTTCAATGATATGTTGGTCAAGACAAGGCAATGTGCATCACCTTGGGTTTGCTGAATTATGTGAAACAATGGAACAGGCCTTTGAGCAATTACCCTACTTACTCCTGATCTTGGTTTCTACCTGACCTAAAATAATCTCCACTAGCGCTTGCTTTAATTACAGGCTCCGAAATAAAAATAAAAAAAACCCCACAAATTTAAAGCATGGACAAGTTAACCTGTGTAGTTGCATTTACATAATTTGAAACAAAGGTTGAGTATTAATAGCTCTATCCCAAAAACACAGCCTTTTCCATAGCATCTTCCACTTTCATATATTCCAGGTGAGATGGGTAGTTAGTGCATTGGAAACGGGGGTTGTTGCGGATATACTTAAGGAATTCTGGAGCTCCTGGGACGATGATATTGTCAGCCAGAAGAACTGAGCCTTTCCTCAGCAAGTTGCATTCCTAGAAAGAAGAGAAACTGCTTCATGGTGGCTGTTAAGCAAACATTGGCTTGAATGTAATGTGCTTTCATGTTAATCATGTCATACTCGAGTGCCTGCATCCAAAAACCCATTGCACTATGGTTTGGGGGGAAGAAAAGACATGGGAGAAGCCGAGTAACTCCAATCCTTTATGGTCATGTGTAATATGCTGACTTTTTCCGTTAACACAATCAGCAGAACATTAGAGATGCTGATAACATGTTGGGTCATTCGGGTTCAGAAACAGCAAATCAAGTACAGTGGAGGTGTGCAGTTTGCTGCTCAGATTGTTTCCAACTACGTCTACATGATCAGTAAGACAGTTTTGTTTTGGCTCTCATGCCTAATGTTTGAAAACTTTCTTTAATATAGCATTAGAATGTTGTTGTAGCTCTTAAGAGAGACTGGCAGGTACCAGTCTGCTTTGGCCAGTCTCAGTCAAACTCCAAAACCACTAAATGAGAAAAGACATTTTCTGTGCTTGTTTTTCTTTCATCTTGTACAACTTTCTGCCATTTTGTTCAGGAACTGGGCATGAAGCAGGGTTTGTGCACAATGAAGATCTCTCTGACAAATTTCCACAAGGCATAATTAACTTGCAATATTCACTTCAAGTCCAATGTTTATCCTCAAGTACACCTACAAACCTAATTTTTACTGGTATTTTTGTCTAGTAGAAGTCGCTTATCAGAGCTTACCAGCTGTTTTAGAACAGAAAATCTGTAGTTAATCAGGCTGCTGGTTATCCTGTGGTTACAGGCAGCATTTGTAGCCAAAACATGGGGCGGCTTTTGTCGCTCCCATTATATTACAGAAGTCCTGTTCATGAGAGTGCTGTGGAGGCTGTTTAGCTTACTACTTTTGCCTCTCATGACTGAACACCAGTCAGTACAGTAGAAGCAATTTTAGAGACATGGCAAATATCCTCCAGTCTGTTTCTATCACATGGCTTATAGAAGCCTAGAAGTGACAACATACTGTATTCTCCACTGGTCATCAGGATTTCAGATGCTCTTTGTGTCAGGCTTTTCTAGAGGTGCATGAAAAGGAATGCTCTCTGGGCCACTTTCAGTATATATTTTATCTGAGTATTTTCTATTCATATTTCATATTTACTATTCATATTGCAATACATGCCAAAATTGCATGTTAGAACGTTTGTAACATCTGAGAAAATGTGAGGATCTTTTCTTCACCTTTCTCCTCTTAATTTCATGGGTTTTTAAGAGAAGCAACTTTGTGTCACAGTTGCATCAGACTCACTGCAGATGGAACTAAACTGTTTGGTTTGGCTGTATTGTGAAGATTAAGCTCTGATAAGGATGTGATAGCTCTTCCCAGTGGAAAGAGCTCAGTCATCCTTACACAGCTAAGTTGAAAGAAAACATTCTCTGGGTACAAAATAACTGCAGAGAGGGAACATTTTCTTCAGCTGCTGTTGTGTAAGTTCAATACTGGCTGTTCAACCCCAAACAAATTCCCTTTTCAAATAGCTATCTGGACGATAGGCTGAAATTAAAAAACAGGGGAGCCTGGATGAGAAAATAATGTTGTAGTCCTCAAGCAGGGGTCAGGAAGTAGTTAGCAGGTTCTAAATGTAAGAGGTAGCCTCAAAACCAGTATATTTGTGAAGAAAATAATTGAAGAAATTACACTTCCATACAAATAGTTAGGCAGTTGTAGAAAATTTTATCAGCCTGCAGCTCCAGTGGTAGATACAGATGTTGTCAATCTCAGTTATTTAACACATGAAAATGCCTTTCGATCCGGAAGTCCTCTAGTAATCATCTCACCTATCATTGCCTACTGCTGTTACAGCCAACTTGTTTTCTAATGCTAACAGTGATGGTTAAGGCAGGTTGGGAAGAAATGAGCATAATTTTTCCACATTCAGGGCTGGAGATAGAGATGGACAGCACTTCGCTAGCAAGTGCCTGACTGGGGCAGTCTGCATGTCAAAGGTTGCTATGGAGCCAATTAATTAGGTGGCATAAAGACTCACAGAAGATGATACCTAGCTGTGCTACCAAAATAGTATTTCATCAAAAGGCTCTGTTGGCACCACAGACCCAGGCAAAAAAAGGGGTACTGAGGAAACTAGAGAGGTGGAGCTGGGATATGAAGGTCCTAAGTCACGCCTGCTCCCAGGATCAAAATGGTTTTGGGTCAAGTCTTCTGGTTAATGATCATGCAGACACTCCTCCTAGGGAGTGTAAGACCCAGACCATACACTTCTCCAGGCTAGGATTTCTACAACAGACTCATTTGTTCAGGAAACAAAATGGTTCAACAGTATTTGCCAAGTCCTGAGCTATGTAGTACCAGCAGTTGTCCCTAACAAAAGTTTGGGATCCTGTCCCCCAAATCCTCTGTTCTTGTAAGGTTGCTATTTTGGCTGCCGTTCTTCATTTTACAGAGGATGAGGTTCTTCACAAAGAATATAGTCCTCACAGACATCAAGGTATTTGCTATTTTACTGTTAAGACTGGAATTGTGTAAACTGACCTGAAGCAAGATGGTGTCTGGTGCGTATTTCTCTTTCCAGTGGTCCAGGAAGACAAAATCCAGAGTATCCACTTCATATTTTTTCTTCAGCTGGGGGATAATTTCCTCCGAAGGGCCTTCTAGGAGTTTTACCTGAAATGCAAATCCATCTGATGAATTGTGAACCATTAAGAAAAAGCACATGTCTTTAGCTCATTTTAAATTGTGGCCAGACATCAGCGATTCTGTTTATAGCTCAGTATTGCATCAGTTGAATTATTTCATAGATTTAGATCAAGTGTACTTTTTTCTTTCTGACAAATCAACTCAGTTATGTTCCAAAATATGGATTTGAGTGGTTTTGTTTTGGTTTTCCTTAAATAATAGCAGAAAAACTGACCTGTTGTTTCTATTGGATAGTGTGATTCTTTAGTGGAAACATGGGAATCTCCTGTTGAAAACAGTACTTTTAATTACTTTTTTAGTTACATTTCAGTTGAATCTTGTAGTCCAAGGGAAGCAAAAAATACTGAGAACAGGTTAGTTTAGAATAAAGTTGGAGGGTACAGTATGTAAAATTGATACAGCCAGTAGAGGGAGAAGGCAGGACAGAGGCTATTATATCTTCCTCACAGGTCTATTGGCATAAGTACTGTTAAGCTGGAAGAAGCTGCTGCACATTGATTTGTTAAGTAAGTGCCATATTCTGAGTGGAGGGGAAAAAAGGTAAGGAAATCTGGTTTATGACTTATAGCTGATCAGGAGATTAAATCAGATGGGGAAAATGCAATTTTAGATGTCACTAGTACTTCAGGTTATCTTCAAGAAGTTAAGAAACACATTAGAAGATCTCATGGTGGGATTTATTTCCTCTAGTTTTATCATCTACATTGAAATGAGTTGTCTAGTCGAATAGACAGGCACTTCAGGCATGAATCCCCTGACCTGCTGTAGATGTCTGCCTTGGGCTGAGAAGGATTATAGGCTGGAAATATCTGCATCTCAACCAACTGTACAGAGTCAAAATACCTCAGACTGCACAAAATTTAGATATAAATATATTGTGACCAACTAGATTTGGGTAAGTACATCTCATCTGAAGTCCATTGCACATAACGCAACTGTTTCTTGTGAGCTTCTGTAACAAATTAGACTATGGTTCAGTTTTATGTTGTACTCAGTCTTGACACTGATTTGAACCTTATAGTGTAAAGAGAAAACCAATATTCTAGTCTAGCTTCTGGGAGGTAACATAGTGAAGTCCTCGGCTGTACTGCTGTGAGAGGTCAGGGACTAACTAGGCACAGAGCTAGTTAAATTAATGACTGTGGATGCAAGAGAAAAAAAGAATACAAAATGTCTATGAATAAATGTTGGATAGAAATCATAGAAAGACTTCCAATTTTCAGGAGGAGGAATCTGTGGGACAGTCTTGCAGTTCAATAATGGCAGTAAATCTAACCAGTTTTACAATAGCGATTACTAATTTCATGAAAAAGACTGTGTGTGCTGATGTCCTCTGACTATAAGTGAAATAACCGACTCCGGAGCCTTTCTCCAGGTCTGTATTATTCTTACAGTCACTATGGGTTTTGAAAATAGCTCTCAGCTAATGGCCTGTCTACTGTACTAAACAGTGAATAGTGAAGAGGCCAAGCTGGAAGGTGAAGTCTAAATGTTTTCAAAATGTTAAGGAGATACTAATGTATATGATTGTTTCTGGTCTTGCCCCTAAAAATCTTCATCCTGACTCACATAGCAAAGAACTTTGGAGAACAGCCCTGATTGTTTTGGTCACACATACACACACATCTTGATAAGCCTCAAACTCTACCTTGACTTTCAGCTGGGTCTGCATCATACTTGGACCCCTGACTGATGCTAACAAATTTAGCTCACTTGCACTGTATATACAAAAGAGCAGACGACCTTGATCCTCTGCATGGACACTGGTAGTTTTCCTTGCTATCAAGCTTGATGGTTAAACTCTGCATGTTCCCAAACACTTAGAATGTTGTACTTGCTTGACAAGTAAAAAACAAATTCAAACCTATTATTGTTGTTTCTATGGATAAAGTCCCACTCTCAATGTATTACTTTCTCATACCAACCAGACACAAATGGAATTTACCTTATCTTGTACTCCAGCAAACTCAATCATCTGTTTAGCTATAGCAGCAAATTCTGGGTTGAACTCCACAGTGAGAAGACGAGCTCCTGCCTTCAGCAGCCGAGCAATCCTAACTGCTGAGTAGCCACAGTATGTTCCCAGCTCCAGTGCAACTGATGGATTGACTTCTTCCACTGTCTTGTCTAGAATTAAACCTGAATAAAATGGAAATAGGTTAACTTTTGACAAAATCAAACTGGTTTACATACAGAAGAGCAAGTTAGTGACAAGGAACTTACAAAGTCAATGTACTCAGTTGCTCAGGACATTAAGGGCTGATGTCAAATTATATACTGTATCCTTTGCAAATTGGCTTATCTGTGATCAAGTTGATCATTGACATTGTAAGTTTCAAAATGCAACCTTTCAACTAAAAAAAAAAAATCTTAGTTTCACTATATAAACATTTCTGAGTAAGGAAGTGTCTGAATTAACTAAAATATTTACAAGGGAAAATTTTACAAGGGAAAAATGCAGTGTTTTTTCCCAAGAACTTATTGCAGAAACTGGTCACGCTTGGGAAATACCTAACTCCTGAATTTTGAGTGCTCAAAATTGTTGCAAGTGTTACATGCAGTAGTCGCATACAAAATTTCTTATCCTAAATATTTGTTTTTAAAGGGAAAAAGAAAAGTCTAGTTATAAAGTTGCAAAATATTTGGATTCACTAGAGGAATTTGTGGGATGGAAAAACATTAGTCAATTGTTAACAACAACAAAATGTTCCCAAAAAGAAGTGACAGTGTACTATACTCAGTCCTTCTGAAGAAAAGCATTTATTTGTGAGAAAACTGTCTCCTCTTACTTGTATGGCTAGAAACTAGATAACTAATCTGAAAAAGTATTTGAAGGGATTTTACACTGAGCCATGGAATTTTTCAATGTACATATACATTTCATTACATGATATTTGCCTGGGTGTCATTTGTTTATGAATAGTGTGATGATGATGCTTGCATCTTGAGATCATGTGGTCACTCTCAAAATCTTAGGAACTAAAGATGCATTAACTTTGATGGCACTTATCTGAGGAAAGGTCATCTTGTCAGAGCAAAACTAGAATGAAATTTTTAAGACTATAATCCCAAATGATCAAAGTTTAGAGCTTTAAGGATTCCTGCTCAGCCATTACCTACTGTTCTGTTGCCCTAAGCACCCCAGCCTCGTATGCAGAGGAGCTAGTTTCACAAAATGTACCCATGACAGAGAAGCATTTTTATTACAATGCTTTCAGTTGTGTTTCGTTAGCTATGTTAATCCAGACTAAGCAAATTTCCCAGCAAGAGGTACTTTTGTGTCTAATTCATAAGGGAACATATTAACTTTTTGCCATTACAGTTTTTTGAAAAAATTATCACTTTTCTGCAGCTAAGAAAAAAATGTTTGTCCACATACTTTCCTTTTGGAGGCAAGAACAACACAATTTACTTGCTAAGTAGCAACACTGTCTGATAGCTGATTTTGTGTATTACATAGGTAGAATTTCTTCCTTCAACAGTAACTTCTAACTTATACTTGCATACACAAAATTGATACAGTTTAAAATACTTTTTTTTTTTAATTTACTATCTTTTCATTAAGGATCTGAAAGTACTTAACATAATGAATTATGCCTTAAGGCCACCCTGTATAGGATCTGAAGTATAATACAACCCTAGATTTTTCCCATAAATCGTCACCCTCTGCTTACATGCTTGCAATGTACACAACGTACAAACCCAGATTTGGTCCTGTGACTCACTGGATACCCCTCTTAAAAGACATCTGCACAAGCATGCATCACTGTTTACAGAACTACTCTGCAACCACAAGGCTCTTGTGGGTTGGGTTTTTTTTTTTTGCAGCAGATGGAAGTTACCATGTGAATACAATAAGGTGTCCTGTACTGTGCTAGTCCTGAAGGATCTTTCAAGTGTCGATCCCTGCAGCAATTACCTTTTTCATTGCCCACATTCATGGCCCACTCCTTCTGGGAGCAGTACTTATCTATAGAGTCCATCACACTACAGGGGTCTCCTCGGACTGCATTCTGCAGCACGAAATTTAAAATCCTCTGTTCTTTGCTCTGATTCATGATGAAATTGGTTATTTTCTCCCGGATTATTTCATTCCAGATAAGGGCAGCAGTGCCGTTTTTCTTGATGAGCACCACAAAGAGCAGCAAAATGAAAAGCAGAACAATGAACAAAAGGACTGAAGAGCTCTCCAGCATCTGGAAGGAAACAGAAAAACAGCCCAGGGTTAAGGTGGCACAGGAGAGTGCTATTCTTTTTGTAAATATTAAGCTGAATAACCCACAACCAACCATACTGAACAGGAACATGCAAAGTTTAATTATGATATTGTCCAGAATAGCTGAAAATTACTTTCTGTCACTTGGTAATGGATGGTGCTCTGTGGCACTCCCTTTAGAAGCCAATTTTACAGGCAGTCAACAAGCAGCTTTAATGCTCTGGTCCCTTCCCCCACACATCTGCTCCTGGCTCCAAGCATGCCACTGCACAAGGAGCCTCTCAGCATCAAATCTGTTCTAGTCATTTTTCAAAGGATTTAAAATCTTAAATTAGAGCATGCTATGTGATCCCACTCTCCTAATTTTTTGAGCCTTGGGAAACTTCTAAGCTGGTCTCGGTAAGAAAATATGGAACGTCTCACCCTTTAATTTTGAGCACAATATCAGCAGAAACTGGGCACTGTTAAGTAATGTTCTGTTTCAAATCCCTCTGCAGGTGCTAAGTTACTACCTTGCATGCAGACCTCTTTGCTAGCACCTGCCCCTCTTGGATACTCTGCAGAGAACCTAAGCTTGATGTTTCAGTAGGACTCAACCTGCCTCTTTCCTTTCAGAGCCTGCTGCACAGGGACCCAGGTGGAATGGTTTATAGAAGACAGTAGCCTTTTCCCTGCTTATAAAACCTTTGACACAAGCCATCAGTCTGATAGTTTTGAGAACAAAAGATACATTTCCTTTTATAAAGTAGGGATGTTTTCTCACTGGTTATAAAAACATAAAGCTGAATCCCTGAATCAGAGAAGAGCTCAGTCCCATGAAATTCAAGAGATGTAACAAAAGGGTATATTATACCTCTCTGATGGGCCAGCTCAAATTATCTGATGGGACTGTGCCTATTTTCCCCCTGAAATTCAGTGTCATACCTGCAGGTGCCTGTGTGTGTGCAGCATGGTTGGTGTATGTTTCTGTTTGTGAGTTTAGGCCATCTGAACACAAAGCTCAGCAGATGGGATGCATGTCACCCTGTACAGCTCAAGCAACAAATCCTGTCAAAGCCATTTACTCAGATGGATTTCAGACAAGCCAGTATGCAGGAAGGTGCATTTACTTCCATGCAGGAGTCACAGCACAGAAGATCTGATAACAAGTTCTTAAAATTAATGAATTGATTTAGCCTTTGAAAGGCTGCCAAACTAAGGGTTGCGATTTGCCTGAGGATTCTCTGCATGTGAAGGTCCTCTGGTACAACCCAAAACACAGCATATTTCTGATGATGTAGCTTATAACACCTCACTTTTCCACCTCTGCTTCCCACAAGTGGGTGCTGACAGTTACACACCAGGAGAGCACAGGTTGGAATGTGCTCCAGTTAGTATTCAGATGAATGAATGCCAAGTTCATTTGTTCTTTAAGTCTAAGTAGGCATTTGAACACAGGTCTAAAGGATTTAGAATCAATTTCTTAACCTCTGCAGGGTGCCTTGGGTTGCACTGGTTTTTAAACTGTTATTTTTAAAGAACACAATACTCAACTCTTTCTAGTCTCTGATTATTTCTATTAAGTCTCTTTCTCTTCCAGCTTGCTAAAAATGGTGAACAGTTTTCACTTGCACTTGTATTAATGTTCTACCTACTTAGACTTCAGCAAAAACATTGGTCCAACAGGAGCTACATCCTCCTCAAAATTTTGCTTAAGTTGCCCAAGACAGAGGTAAAGGGGCTACATGATTAGCCAAATAGTCCCCCCAGATCTCTTCCTACCTGTTCTTGCTTCCCTTTTTTGTTTGTTTCCCCCAAAACTGTCCCAGGAAAATCCTAAACTTCATGGGTAGTCAGACCTCCCTTCTGTAGCGGAACTTGACACACATTACACATGGGAAAAATCTACTCCATTGCTTTAAATTTTGCATCATCATGCAGAACAGATTTTGAGTTCAGAAGATGACTGAGTTTCCATGGAGATATGCTCAACCTACAATACAGCCAATGTTTGTTCACCCATCCACTGATCTTAGTTGCATAGCAAGTGTGATTTCTTTGGAGTAGTTAAAACTCTATTGCTTTTATGTAGTTGCTAATGTTAATACTACCTTTAATGCTTTCCTTGCAAGATCTGACCTGAAACATTTCCTTTCAGGGCTTGCCAGCATCATAAGCACATGAAAATCTTGCTGCTTGGACTTTCTGAATTTTGTTTCCTAGCTAATAAGAACCTGTTTCTTTACATCACCAGGATCATAAGGGCCTGGATGTTAATTTTCCTTCTTCCCTTCTATGCACTAGTAGTTCTACTGATCAGGCCCAATTGTCCTGTACCTTCCAGATGGGACTTCTGCTCTTTCTAGTTGTTCTACATGAAGATGTTCCATGTTATCTGTTCTCTGAAAATATCGTTAGTAAAATATTTCTCTAGCTTCACTTGGCTTGTCTTCACTTGGTTTTCATGGCTTAGTTGATCGTATGGTGATTGTTGATGGACCTTCCTGCCTCTGGACAAGGGAAACTGCGTGAGCTCCGCATACCAGTGACTCACTTGGTGGCAGTCCAACTGTATTCAGGTCCGTCTAGAACTGAAGACTGTTGGCATTCAGAATTGTTTCAGACTACTGCCAGACATAATCCTCTGGTTACAACAGATACTTTGGCATCCTCTGAGTACAACTTGTCACAGGCTGTTGCTTTGGCACTGCAAGATTCTGTCGGTGTGTTTGGGGCTGCCCTTCAGAAATCTGTGGGACAGCAAGAATGGATGATAGTTGCAGCATCAACTAGGTGGTGTATTTTTTGAGGAACAGCTTTCTTCCTTTATTGCTTAGTATAGATATGAGACCATTTGGTAAGATTTCTCGAAACAAGGAAGAGATAGCATCTGTAGGCTAACTCAGCCCCACTCCTTGTCCTGAAGGAATGCTGAGACTTCTTTTTTGGACAGGGAACAGACTGTGAAGATTTCTTTTTATATGCTAACAAAAAGGACTTACTTGACAGTAAAATCCTGCCCCTCCATTTTCATATTGCTCCCCAGGCAGAAAGGGTATGTCAGCAAACCAGATTCCCATTGTCTTATTTTCCCATGCTGCTACAGGCTTTATACACCAAAATTACAAGACATCACATGCTCAAAAGTCCATGTATTAAAGAAGGTCAGCTTCTTCACTGTCTGCAGCCTGTGAAATGCTATTTCTTAACATGTCTCTGTTAGCCAGAGCAGAGAAAAGCACTCAACTTTAATTAGACCTGCTGATTTTTAGTAACTTCAGCTGATCCTTATTTGGACAGTAGTATCCTTTTAAAGATTTTGTTGTTTTAAAAGAATGCACTTTGTGCAGAGAAAGACACCTTGTTTGAGATGTACATGCCATATCTTTTCAAAGGCGTAGATTGTATTTAGGCTGCTGCCACCCACATCACGTACTGCGCTGTGACATCCTGATATCGACATGCAACTGGCTTGACTAAAAGGTGTAATTTGGGATACACTTCTGAACTGTGCAGATAGCCATAATCTCCTATCTCTTCTAGCCATTCCTTATGCAAAAGCATGAGCAGGCTGACAGCCCTTTAGCTTATCTAGAAGGGCAACAACTGATAGTTCTGCTGGGCCAACTGGGAAACAAATTTTGGATCTTCAGTTATGAAATCTTATTGCTTCAAGTTCACCCACAAATCCCCTCTGAAGGCCAAGTATTGACCTGCATTTCTCTTCCTTCATATCTAGACTGGTGAATGGCTGTTAGCACTGGTTTGTTTACACATTTTGTGTAACATATTTGTCAAGAAGACAAAAAAAGCTATAAATTTAAGCTCAAATGTGTGTGATTCGGGGATAGTCTTAGATCTAAAGCAAGGAAGCAATTCAGCTTGGCTGTTCCTATGATCAAGTGCTGAGAGGGATCTATTTCTGACAGTGCCTCGATCTTTGCACTTCTGAGTCCCACATGAATGCTACCACATGTAACAGCAGAGCCCACCTGCCTCGACAGATCCTTAGAGGTTGCTCACAGGTAGCAACAACCTATATAGTGCCTGCTGGTTTTTTCCGTTCCTACACAAGTTCACTTTTTCTGCTGTATCAAGAAATGTTTTTCAACTACTGGGGTTTTATTATTATTATTGCTTTATAACACCTCAGCGCCCTCATAAACTGTCGGTACGGGTTGCTCTTAGCAGAGCTCCTTTAGGAGGCAATTATCTTGAAATCCACTTTCCAGAGAAGGTAACTTTTAAAAGGAGCAAGAGACACATCTTGTTTTTCTTTTCCTTCTTCTTTTTTAAACACAGTTTCTTTTTCTAAGTTTGTCCCTCTTATTTTCTCTCTTCTTAGATGTGAAAATAAATTCAGTAATCGCAGTAGACTATAAAAGCAGCCTGCCAAGAGCAAGATGCATTGGTGATGGTCATGCATCCAGAAGGGGAAAAAAAAATCTGTACCAAAATAGGTAATTGCTTTCATATTCTTAACTGGAAAACATTTGATATGAAAATTAAGTGCGTAATTCAACCAATTTAAAACTACCACTACCTAAGAGACAGTCATGTTATGACAGCTTTAGAAAATACAACTGTAATTTTAGCTTTAATATGGATTCATGAGATTCATTAAATATGCAATAAAACTTAACTTGCACAGTCAAGTTTCCCATAACCACTTATTACAAGGCAGTCACTCTTATTATTTAATGCTGGTACTGAGGTTCCAGATACACAGGTTAGCACTGCAACCTCTTCTGTGCATTAGAAACACCATGATAAAGTTAGTCTTCTCTTTGAAAGCTAAAATTTGAAGTGGAAAATAGTAGGCAAAATGAAAAATTCAGCAAGGGAATAAACAGAAAACTGGAGGGATAACATTATGGAAAGAAATGAATAACATGTATTACTAAATCTGCTTTTGAGAAGACAGAGTTTAAAAGAAAACATATTAAAATTTCATGCCCAAACCTGTCAAACTACTGACAAGTCTTTCTAAAGCACTGGGTT